GACAAATGGTCAATTCAATTTGAAGGGGTTTGAAAAGCCAGCCATATTTCGGGTCTGTAGTCAATGACTTTTGAATGGTGTGACAGATGGTCGACCCGACAAGACATTTGAAACCAAGGGCAAGCACGAAGTCAAGCTGGTGGAATCTTTGGAGTCTCCCGACAGTTGGGACTGCACTAAGGGCAATATAACGAGAACCATTCATGTCTACTCGAATTTGCCATTCATCCTTTTGTTTGTCAACAATGCTTCCCAAGGAATACTTCCCGTGGCGTCCATGGTTCGAGGTGAAGGGTCGTATGCGGAATTTGAAGACGTGGAATGGAAGGCTTGTTCTCGTGCAGCTGTTGCTCGGATGGAACTGTATCCACAGAAGTCACAACTTGTGGTCCTCCACTCGCTTTGAAACTGAGTATCCATTGCCCTTTGCCTCACACTGGAACAGAAAGTGCCCTCTTTTTGAATGGTCAAGATGCGGCACTGATCCGAGCCTCCTCCATCCCAGATGCAACTGGCCAGGTGGTACTACACATGGCTAATAGTCAAAATGTCGAATGGAAGGCTGGATCTCTTGCAGCAGTTGCTCGGATGGAAGAAGCTGGCGACGCTGTCGCATCCACAGAAGTCATGAATTGTGGCCCGCCAATTGCTCTGAAACTACTGTAAGTATCGATTGCCCTTCGCCTCACACTGGAACCAGAAGTGCCCTCTTTTTGGATGGCCAAGATGCGGCACTGATCCGAGCGTCGATCGTTGATGCAACCGGCCAATAGTCAAAATGTTTCCTTTGCCATTATGATGGACCAGGAGAGATCCAAGGAAAAGGAAGTGGCAATTCAAAGTCATCCAACAATACTCCGTGGCATATTGCGTATCATGGATTGGTCCGAGCGGTGGTTCTATAAAAAAACCATACTGCCATCAATTGACGGTCCATCGGGATTGACTTTGAATGGCAATGAACAAGATATTGTATTGGAGGCTAGTAGTTCACCTGTTCTGGAAACTGTTCGCTTGACCTTTCCTACCATCACTATATTTCAATAAAGGACGCAGCGTTGCAAGTTGCCCAAGCTCGGGATGGAAAGGCGTCTTAGCTTGGAAGGCAAGACGAGGCAATACTGTACAGTACAAAGAACCTAGATTCATTATGATATTATAGAAAACATATGTAATAATAGTCCTAGTACGAACAGCCAAGTGAACAGTATGACTAACTTGTCGCTATCAGTACGGTGATCAATGGATGTACTTGAACTACACTTCTATTATTACAATTTGTGGATCCAATCATGTTGCAACTTAGCCAAAATGGGAGTGACGCACAAACTTTTTGGCATTGGTACCTCGACACACTCAATCAGTACCATGGTAGGAGATCATTGGTCGGCAAGAAGTCAGATGGAATGGTCTTGACTTACCACTTACCATATATATGACAGTTTGAAATTATCCATTGTCCCGGGTAGCTAGCACTAACATCAAATGAACGAAGGGACTTGACAATACACTATGTTATAGTTGGTTACAGTATATGGTTCTAGCTAATAAGCTACATAGACGTATAGAAAGATTTGGGCGTCTCGTCAATTGGTCCAATGAAATCTATGGGGATGATTTGAGGTGCGTGGTCTATTCAACATGATCATGAATACTCGCATTGCCCCACAGTTCCTTGGGCATCGGCACTTCGACACACTCAATACGTAAATTAGCGAAAATTACCAAGAACAAGCAGGTGTTGAAACTCTTGGAAGATGCCGACTCTGTCAAGATGCTGACACATTTTTCGAGATAGTCCTTCTGAAGGTCCGGATTGTCACAGCCAATGAGAAAAGAGGCGCGATGTTGAAAAGAGGCGTATTGTCATGTATAGCAGGGATCATGTCGTTTGATTGGATCATGAAATCCACCTCAACAACCATCTTGTTTGCTGTCAAGGATTTCAAGTTACATTCTTTGACCATTTTGGGTAGAATGCAACAATAGTGATCGTTGAAGTAATTGTTGACCAGTCTTTGAACAGCAGTTACTTCCTTTGCATCGGTTGCTATACGGACACAGATTTGCCTGTGATGCGGCCTCCAATCAGCGTTTTGACACTCTATTGAACAATAGAGAGCTTTGTTACATCGTGTACACATCTTGAGAGGGCATTCTGAAGATTCCACATCCCAACACCTATTGCAGGTTTCATTCGTCAAATCCGACAGATAGGAAATCGCATGCAGTCTGTTGATCACTGGGGGGTCTAATTCATTGGCTTTGTCATCCTCTGCTATGATTGCCCGCAAAATGTCGCCACAAGGTGCTCCAATCTTGAAACACTGGCTCAAAACATAAGGACAGGATTGAAGCTCGCCGAGCAACTCTTCCAGAAATGAATAATTTTTTTCATCGGGACCTAGCGGGAACGTTCGAGTGGAACATCGAAGGGCTTGCTCGAGAATGCCCGTGTTCTCTAGCTTCCAAAACACCCGTTCTTTAGACCGGGACAATTTCCCTGCGCATGTTTTGAAAGCGGAGTATACAATCCAAATGATGCTTTGACATCTCATCCAATTTGCCCTCATCCAATTTGCCCAAGGTGGGGTCGCCCATTTGAATCCATTCGGAGTCTCCCATGTCTCGGTACACTTGCACATAACTATCTTCAGCTACTCGATCAATACACGACATAACAACAGTGGTACCATCACCAGGCAGCGAAGTAGAAGTCAAGTAGATATTGTCCAAGCCAAAAGAGTCACCAATGGATAAGTCACCCAACGTCTGGCCAACCTGAGTCCATTCAGTGCCATCAAATTCAAAGACACGGCCGTATCCATCGGGAGGATAAACATCATCTGGCTTGACATTTACTGCAACTCTAGAGCCATCACCAGAGAGTGATATAGAGTCTCCTCCAAAGGATCCAATGTCCACTCTCGACCCAAGGAGCACCCATTGTCCAGAATTGGCTCTCTTAAAAGTAGAGAAGCTGTACGGTTCCGCCACGGCAAGAATGCTTCCATCCTCGGAAAGTGAGACGGCATATCCACCATATTCCTGTGGACTGCCTACAGCAATATCATTGCCAACTTGGTTCCAACCAATGTCATTTGAATTGGTCGTTGACAGTTCGAAAACCTTGACTCTTCCGCCATTATTGCTCTCGGGCATGCCGACAGCAACATACTTCCCATCCCAAGACATGGAAACAGAATCACCAAAATCAGAACCAACTTCGTTGCCTTGGATGGTCGCAGCCAAGACCCAGCTATCGCCTCCTTCTAGCTGGTAAATGTTGACATAACCAGTCGAACCACGGTCTACAGCTCCCACCGCCATGAGAAGAGGCTCCGATTGAGACAAACTCACAGCAGATCCAAAGTTGTCATCTGGATTTCCAAAGAGCTTCTCTCCCAAGTAACTCATGTAGGTTTCAGGAACGAGGTCACGAGGAACGCAGTAGTCAGTCCGGCTAGAATCAGCAGAGCCCCCAGCACATCCTGGAACGGGTACAAATCCGGTTCGTTGGTAACAAATTAAACCATGTTTACAGTCATCGTTTGAGTCACAATCTGTAGCAAAAGAACAGAAGACGTGGTTAGCAAAGATACAACCAAATGTTTGTTGCTCCAATCGATTTGATGATAACTTACCTCCTTCACAAAGTCCAAGTGGAAATGTTTCGGTGACTGCCAAAGGAGGCAGCTCGACAGGAATACAATAATCGCTTCTGCTACTATCTTCCAATCCTCCAGAACAGCCCGGAACCAGGGTATTTGCATTTCTTTGAAAGCACATCAAACCACGGGCACAATCGCTATCTTTGTCGCAATCTCCCATGCACATGGAAAGAGGCTTCATGTCAACGATTTCTAATGGTGGATCAGTGGATTGTGGTGCAACGGCTTGTAGGCTAGCACTAGAAGTAAAACGGTCGGATTCCGTTGGTTGGACTTTGGGTCGACTTTGGATTCTAGAATCCATGACAAACCAGACAGCAACACCTGTTGCGGCCATTCCGAAAAGGACAACGATGACATTGAACAAGATGCGGCAACTATTTGGCTTTTCGCGAGCAACAACGTTTGTGGTCTTGAAGTGTGCGCTGAGATGCAGCTTCCGCATTGTAGTCAAATGGAAGAGGATGCGATTGCTCATCCTTCTCAATCGCTTTGGATTTTGCAGACTCCAATTGGGCCTAAAAGAGATTCAATGATGTTTTTGGGCTGACAGTTGTTACTAGCTGTTGGCCCCCAATCCCCCAGCGCAAGTGCTGGTTTCCTCCATTCGGCCATCTTGTTGCCGTCCAGGGTGTGGCGGGTGAGAAAAACGGTAGTGCCCGACGTGATCAACAAGAACGTCGGTCAAGCGTTGCATCAAAGGCTCGGACTGGGTGTGAAGATACCGAAAAACTTCATCTGAGCGCCACCGACCAAGTAGTTTGATGAGACTAGTCGGGATATTGCCTTCGAGAAGCGCGGTGGCCCCGGTGCATCGAAGAGCACCAATTGTGGGAGGTCAATGGACCTCCACGGAGAGAGCAACTGTTCTCAGATATTTTGTCATCATTCGATCTGTGACATTGCAAGGGACTCCAAACTCAGAGTAGTAGGTGAACAGCGGGGTGTCGCCAGTCGTGTGTCGACTCTGTCGAAGGTGTTGTACAATGGCAATCAGCGTAGCTGTGGGGTTGTCACCATTAAATGACGTGCCCAAACCGATCTTTTCGTCTGGCACCGCATTTTTTTTGTTTGTCAAAGATCAGACCAGCAAATGTCACAAGTGGCGTGTCCAGGAGGCGAAGGGGAATGGCTTCGCCACAAAATTCTGCGACGTTGATTCGAAAAAACACTTGTTTCAATTTGAATGGAAATTGTGTTCCCGCCTTTGACAGAAATTTGCCAGGGAGTAACAAAAAGAAAAACCCCAGCCACATCAATCGGTTCATTGCCTTTGCGGCATGTGTACTTGTGGGTTTTGAGGCGAGCTTTGATGCTTGCCTTGACAAGGACTTGGGCAATGGGCGTACTCGTTGTGCTGCTGGGTCCTCTTTCTTCCAACTTTTTAGCAGCCGTGTCCAACAAAGTCCATTGTGCCCGGTGCATATCGGTTCATTCTCGGATCAAGCAATCCCAATGAGGAAAAGGCCTGGCCCACCTGGCGCATGGCATCTTCAGCCGTTCGACCCCGGACCTGTCTCTTACTGGGGGCAATTTTCCCACGTTGCCATTGGGTTCCAAAGAGGAGGAAGATGAGCAAGGGATCGTCGACCGCTGACAATCCTGGGTCAAGGGTGAGGCTTTCGCAGAAGGCAACCCATGCGGTCCAGACAGAGTGTGCCTTTGCAACTCTTGAAGGACAGACTCCGCGTTCGATTCCGAGTTCAACAGCACGGATGTCATCAAGGAGTTCACGGCGTTCGGCATCCTGTACAGTTGCCAAGAGTTGATCTGTGAATACGTGCGATTAAAATATGAGACAAATTTGTCGTCAGACAGGTGCCACAGTTGGCTAGCATTGTCGGCCATTCCATTGTTCGTTCCAGATAAGTGCCCAATGCGATGATGTGGTGCTCTTTGTTCCCGCTGTAATCCTGCCGCTAACCGTAGTATTCTTGCTCTTGCCTTTTGAGAGGTGGAAGATCCTTTTGTGCGCCACGACACTGCTGGTGTGTTGTCACAGCCAGTGTAAGTGGTTTTGCCTTCCACCTGGGCTGTCTTTCCAAGGGCAAAATGATGGAGGACGGTGCCTTCCAGCTCCAAGTCTGAGTTGGTAAGTTTTCCTGTCAGATTGTGATCTGAAATTACCTCTTTTTTCACTGCTTCTTGATATGGTTCGCGCCAGACAATGGCCTCTCCACCGTCTGTGAACCATACTCCTCCCCTTCCCAACTTTGCCGCATCACAAGCGCCAACGTGTAAATCAACGCCTGGTACCAGCTCTTCCAGTGTTGTGGGGCGCTTTGCATGGCCATTTTGGAAGATTTCCAGTTGCTCACGGACCTCAGGAGTCAAACGCACCCTACAATCCACCTGTCGAATCAGTGCCTCCTGCAGCAGGGAGAAATGCCCCTCACTGCCCGACATTCCTGGCTGCAGGCTTTGTAAGACCCCTAACACCTGCTGCCATTGTTTCAGGGAGACGCGTTTGCAATCCAAGACCTCGCCCAGGAGTGACAGGGCCTTGCTCACTCGTTTCTCTTTCAATTGCAATGTCTTTGTTGTCGCTCCCCAGTTCCAACCCAAAGCTTCTTTGACTGTGTGCCAAGAGGCATCTCCCTTGGCCATTTTTGATTGTGACTGTGGCTCTTTTCGCCACTGGTTGTCCGTGGGTCGATTTGGTCGGAAGACCTTGTCAATGTTGTGGCTGAGGACGGCTCGTTGATTTGTCAAAGGATTGCTTGGATGGTCTTGGCCCATTCCAACAAAATCGTCCACAAAGACTTCCATCTTTTTCAATGGGCGCTGGTAAGTCAGTGGCTGGTGAGATTTTGGTATAGGTCTCACGACTTGTGTGTCCCTCACTTCAAAGTCAGTGATGGCTGCTGCCCTTCCCAAAGGATGCGGTGGCACTCGCTTGTTTTGTTGCAAGTCAACATTTGTCAGATCGGCAACGGTTTCCGTGAAAGCGCAGAACCATGGTGGACTCTCTGTCCAACCCATTGGAAGCACAAGTGGCAGTGCAACCAATTGTGGAAGGCCTTCAAAACGCGGTAAGATGACCCCAAGCTTGAGTGCGCCGGTAGTTGACAGTTGGATGCGATAGAAACCATCCGACATGCCGTTCTTGTACATGTAAACTGGCCCATAGTCCGGGTTTGCCTTCATGAGTGCCTCGCAGATGCGTAGTGAGGCCATGCCGAATTGCATAGCTCCCTCTGGGGCAAGTTTCATTGTCTTGTCGTTGAGTCCCAGGACAAATAATCAACAATCATCTGCGGTCTTCTGTTATCTTGTGGTATGCAACCAATTGGAGAAAGGCAAAGTCCCTTCTCGTCCTTGATGGCGTTGTATGGAAGTAGGATCCAAAATCCCTTCCTTCCAAAATCCAAAAACTCCTCCATCAGAAACTCTTTGAATTCGTTTGCTGATGAGTGACAGCCCCGAGCGACTCGCATGTCAAGTTGGCTCTGGCTCCATGGCTCCGAATGAACCACCACAGGAGCCCCATTTTTCATTACTCGGTGTAGCATTGGTGCGGCAGGGTGCGGAAGCTTATCAATGTCTGGTGCAGCATCATCTGAACGGAATAAACGAGCAGTGACTTGCCAACCGTGTTTTAAATAAGTTTCATTAGCCAACGCAACCAGCTCACCTATAGTATTAGCACTACCTCCAATTAAAGTAGATCATAACAAAAGTGGGTCCGATTGAGATGGCCTGCAAGAATCCAATGATTCCCGGCCTCCATCTCACTTATTCTTATTTACATAATCCTTCATTGCGGTTGCTTCCTTGTCAGTCAGCTTACAATGAGAATGCTTGCGTTCGCAGTGCTCCTTGCATTCGCCCTTTGTGTGCCAAATGAGGCACAGTTCCTTTCCGTTGGCGTGCTTTGGAGGCTGTTCCCCTGTCCGTTTGATTAACTCAGTAGTAGTTCTTCCGGTGTAGCGATGCTCTTCGTTCATGTCAGGATTTTTTACTGATTCGCCCAAGCTCTTCTTCTGGGCCCTTTCATTCTCTCTCTTCAGCTGACTCTTAGTCTTGTCTCCTGTTCCAACATGTCCGACAGAGTCCTTTGCGACAACAAATAAGTTTGACTCTGGTAGGCTTCCTCCATGGTAGCATGTCTCCATGTAGGTGCCCAAGTTGGGTAGGTTCTCCTCTGCGTTTGTGCAGGATCTTACCAAACGCTCAAAGTAACAATCAATTTGGGAATAGATTCCAAAGAGAAATCTCTCGTGTGCTCGCTCCTGCTGGGACACTCCCATCTTTCATGCGATCGAGTCCACATTCTTTGCAAACCATTCGTACACGGCGGTCAGTGGATGAGTTTTCCCAAACACTACATGGTAGAATACTCGCATGCCATTGACCATCTCACGGAACTGCATGGGGTCTTTTGCGAAGATAGCATGCTTGATCTTGTCGTGGGCTTGATGATCCTTCATTGATGCGGTCGTCTTTTCGCCCGTCAACCAATAATCGGTTTTTATGTAATCGTTGATCGCGGTTGCATTTTTGTAGTGCTGGAAACAGACACTATTCAACACGTTCAAACCCTTTTCCATGTTGCCGCGCGAACAAAATTCCAATTCCACCAGGCTCTTGATTACTCGGGCTGAAACAATGAATTCCAGATTGAGGTTCAGTTTCTCGGCCTCATCGTCCAGCAGGGACTGCACAATTCCAATTGATTCGTGCTTCTTGCACTTTGCTAGCTCGTGCCAGAGTGTGGGGAGCTGAGCTGAGGTCGTAGTACCAGCAACTCGCTTCAGATAGGAGAGCCTTGTGGGCCACTTCTTTTCCACTGTATTTGGGGGCGCCTTGTCCGATGCTTGTCCCTGGATACCCGCTACCACCACCTCCGAAAGCGATTCCACGGAGGTCTTGGTCGTCTTATTGCTCTCCTCGACGGCTGCCAAGGTCTTCGTGAGCAGTTTGTAGGTCTTGTTGGAGGAATCTCCAGTTGAGTCCTCCGAGTCCAATCCGGCGAAATCCGAATTAATTACTCCGGAAACCCAGCGTCGGGCAGATGTCGCAGTGAGAACAGCAGGTTCTCCGATGTTCTTCGAAAGCTGATCTCTCCCGATGACCATGTTTGCCACGCGTCAATGGTCCACGAAGTGCCGGAACTTCTCCTGCACTTCCGAATTTTTTTCAGGCTCCTCGCTGTTGGCGAGAATCTTGATTCTGTCAATCACCAATCGCAAGACTTTGCGTGCCGGCGATCCGTCCCAAGTGATATCCAAGAACTCCTTGGGAATGGGCATTCGCTTGCGTGTAACCAGTAGGTTGTACGCCGTCTCAGGATCTTCGTCGGTGATATCCTCCATCACGAACAACTTGGAGCGATCTTGCTTGAGCTCCTCGTTTATCAACCACGCCTCCAAATTTGGAACCTTAACCGGATCGGTTTTCGAGAAGGCCTTTGCCGGCCAAGAGACTGCCAGTGGGTCGCTCCCGTTCTCCAGAACGTCATGGTCCAGCACATACAATTTATCAAAATGCTGCTCTTTCTTTTCGCCAACCGTTGTGGACCTAATCATTGGGCGATGCCAAAAATTAAAGTTGTTCACCTGTTCCTTGGGCCATCCCGTGTACCAGGCCGGGGCGCCTCCTTGTACCCCCTTTTCGACAAGGCTGTTTAGATCTTGCAACTGAAGGTCCTTGGTGGGATCAAAGGCATCAAGGACCGCCTTGGAATCATGGTTTGGGTAGCTCGCCTGAGTGGTGAGGTAGCGGTAGCTCTTTTTGCGCACGGTGAAGTCCGTAATGGTCATGATGATGGGTGTTACAGGTAGAAGAGCCGTGTGCTTTCCTAATCTTAATAACTATCTATTCCTAGACTTCAAATTCACTCTGTCAAATACAGAGCAGTCTTTTCAAAAAGGAAATGAGCTGCAACTGAGCTGCAGCTCATTCACCAACTTCTTTCACAACCTCTTTGGTACGTAGCTTTCCACTGTCCTGCTATTGTACCTTCTTTGCATACGTACTTGGGCGTTCCAATCAGTCCGTCCTTCGCTAGCCAACACCTGCAGAGGAACGGCTTGACCCTCCGCATTCCTAGAGATTTGTTTGGTATTCATGTTTTTGTCTTGTTATCTTGTTGTATTCAACTTATGTAATGAAATGTTATGTGATCCATGGACAACTGGTGAGAATCATGCAAGTTGTACTCATTAGATACATTATTGATTTGGAATCATCATTTTCAGTAATCCCATATTCCGAAAAAACAAAAATACAAAAACAACACGCATCTCCGGGTCCTTTGGCCAAGAGACTGCCAGTGGGTCGCTCCCGTTCTCCAGAACGTCATGGTCCAGCGTTGTCAATCGGTTTGGACAAAGACAAGCAGTCTGATGTCCGCCAGAACTGATTTCCAACAGTTTGTTCTGAGCGCTAAAGGCACTCACGATAGAGCACATTTTGCTTTATTCTAACAGTGTGATGACATGAAGGACTCTCATGGGAAAAATGTGATGGGATGAACAATGATTTTGGTGATTTGCCAATATCATGACAAAGTAAGTGGTGTGTCATGGGGAAGAACAGGATGATTCACTGGGCGAATTGTAGAAATAACATTGTCACACAATGACATTGCAAACAGAAAAAAATATCCTAGGACAGGCCGTTATGGTCACAGTTTGAGCCGGGGTACGGTGGGACATACAATGATGGGGTCAGGGTAATTGAGGGGACCAACCAAAGTTTGCCCAAAAACACCATAAACACCTGGAGCTTGTGGGATGATGGAGACAATAGAAGGGGCGTAGCTGCTCTGTCAAGACCATCAGCTTTTTGCTTTTTCCCACCCTTGCCACCCTCTCTCTCATTTGCACCATAGCTCCTATTGATTGTCCTCTTCCAATCCTATGATTAGACCTTGGTGCAAACCAGTCAATAACTTAGTAACTTGCTACTGTTCCAAACCTACTTGTTTCTTGTATGTAGCATCAGGCTTTTGCCACAGTTTCCATGGTAGCATACATGAGCAATTTCTCCAGACAAAGAAAACATCATGCGATTCAAGCCCAGGAGTGGAGGCGGCACGGCGTAATCTTCAATTATGTGATGTCTTCAACATGGATTTGGACGTATCAAAGTACTTCCACATTAAACACACCCTTGGGTGAACACAGTGCAGACGTCAATTGTCAAACACCAAAACGGAAAACTATCAAAGAAAAGAAGTATTATTACATAAAATAGCCCAAGAATCCACTTTCCGTGGTTGTTTCATCGTTGCCTCCCCAAATGTAGTGTTATATCTTAATCATTGATCTTGTTAGGCTGTTGCTTTTTGGCTCGATCCAAACCAGAAACTAGTGAAGGAGAACAACCAACAGCGAAATCATGTACTGTTGTGAGTAATAGCCCAATTTGGATTGGCAACCTGCTATGATGATATTAGGCTTATTGAGCGTTTGCTGAACAAGATGATGAGCACGCACCCAACCTGTAGACATGCGTTCCAGAGGCAATAGTACTTTTGTCACTGGACATTGTTCTTGTATATCCTTCTATATTGTCTCCGATTTGAACCCAACTGTTTCCATTCAATTCAAATACTTGGCTGGGCCCTCCATATGTCAATATCACATTTCCAGAAACTGCATTAATTGCTCGATTAGGGAACAATCTGCCATTCCAACCAGATCCATTCCAAGAGTACAAAATTTGAGAGTTGACACCAAAACCTATCGAATTCCCATCAGATGAGAAGGCAAATGGGCCATATCCCAATCTTGACCCTAATTGGGAGAAACTATTCCCGTTCCATTCGTACACCCTGATCCCCCTAGAGTATTGGCTGTGGAGTTGGTTCAGGAGTTGGCTGTGGAGTTGGTTCAGGTGTTGGCTGCGGAGTTGGTTCAGGAGTTGGCTGCAGGGTTGGTCCAACCACTGGTGCAACTGTTGGTGATGGCGTTGGTTTTGGTGTTGGACCCTCCTTCGGGTTTTCACTTGGAAGGGAAGTTTCCACCAATACAGGAGAAGAAATCGCTGATGGTGCCTTGGATGGTTCCATTGAAGGGGGAGATGAAGCACTGATACTTGGTGACCCGGTTTGATCTATGGATCCCAGATTCACAGCCATAACACTTTCGTAGAGCTCTGCCAATTCAAGCTTGATGGCAAGACCTCCACCTCCGTAAAAGAGAGCTACCTCTGTAATGATTGTAGCAACTTTCACACCATTGTCCTTCACCACAATGTCAAGCGTCAAGCCGATTCGATGGCACTGCAGATTGGAATCATAGAGACAACTTACTCCTTCTACTCCAAAGACATCCACCATGACATTTCCAATCGCATATGAAAAGCCATCATCAGGCGCCGCAAGATGGCGATGAGTACTCCTCAAGTTTCGAACGACTTGATTGCACCCAGTAAGTGCTGGAGCCATTAACTCTCTGAGTATATCCTCAATGATACCGGCCGAAATGCTCAGATCCATGGGAAGGATTGACGTCGCATCAAGATCGAGCTGGTAGCTTTGTACTGGCATTGTGTCTTGATCCTGTATTGTATTCCCACTGGCAATGGCGGCACAGTCTTCTGCCGACGGTGGATCAAACGCAACCTCAATGTTGGCACTAGTAGGAGGCCCAGAAGGAGATGCACTTGTGAAAGGATTTTCAATCGCATCATAAGAATATTGAGTTGGTGTGACTGAATCGACAGGCACATTCGTTACATTCTCTGTATTTGGAACCGTTGTTACGCGTGGCAAGCCAAGCCGCAACAGCGCCAATCGCGAGGACAACGAGGCAAAGAAGGTAGCAACATATTCGAACACTCTTGTTCTGCTTGAAACGTTCCCAGTCTCTTCCGTTCGACTCTTCATTCTTTCTGCTTGTCTTTCTGCTTGAATCATCATCAGACACGGTTCCATTGATTGATTTCTTGTCCCTTGATCTCAAAGTAGCACCCCCACTCGCTTCTTGGGTCTGATCTAACATTGAAATGAGTAGTGCCGTAGCAAGGTCGGCATCGTGGCTGTCGACAGCGTTAGCCATCACAAGTCCATCCATATTGCCTTCCTTGTCAACTTCAAAATTCGCTCGTTCTTCCACCATAAACACTGATTGGGCTCCCAGAGGCCTGCGGTATCGTTCTTTTCCAGAGTTCTTGTCTTTTGCATCTTGAGTTCCACGAGAATCCGCATGTGCACCAGGCATTGGTCCAGTAATGGGCTCACTCATTCGATCCATGAGATTGTTCACCTTTGCAGCATTATCTTTGGTGTATCGATCTTGTTGACTTCTTCTTTTGCTAGATCGATTTTTCTTTCGTGCTTGGAATGGTTCTACCACAGCCGTATGGTTGACATCATCGGCACTGTCCGGCACCTTGGACTCATCTTCCACCTTCTTGCTGGTGTTTTTCTTTGCAGAAGCTTTGGAGTCTTTGGCATTGGCTTCGGATCCACGAGATCCTGCATGCGCACCAGGCATCGGTCCAGTTGCAAGATCGTCGCCTGCTCCTCGATTTATGAGGCCCTTTGCCTTTGCGGCAGCATCCGCTTTGGATAGTACCACTCGACCTTGCTGGCTTTTTCTTTTGCGACTTCGATAGTTGTTGCTCCGGCCTTTGCCTGCTACTGCACCCGTATGGTGGACCGCATTCGTCCCAGATGTGGTGCTGTCTCGATCAGCACGAGCCTTATCCTTGTTAGAATAAAGCAAAATGTGCTCTATCGGGAGTGCTTTTAGCGCTCAGAACAAACTCTCTGCAATCTAAATTCGTAATCGACTGTACAGCACTTTCACGACAATAGTTCTCCTGTGTCTAGGTATACTTTGAGTGAAATTGTTCCTATTTGATTAATGTTTGGCTTGAATTGATGATTCAATCACAAAAGTGAGTTCGACAATTTTCCCTTGGAAAATCCCTTGTTTACAGAACTCGATTCGACTTCTACGACAATTCTGTGTTGAATGCAGTACTTTGGGATATCTTGCATAATTCCCTACTGCATCGTACACAACATCGATATTCCACTTGTACAGGATCTTTTCCTGTTTGTGTGGATACAGATTGTCCGACAGACTCACGTCCGGCATACTTGCGTCAAATCCCGACATCTTGCACGATCAAATTCCGATCGCACGTGTCGAAAACCTTGTACTTGAATAGTTTCGTTTGGAACGTAAAAACTCATATTTCGTCATATCCCAACACTCAGCATCAGCGCTCTTCTTCATGAATCGTTCAATACGTTTCAAGAGTTCCATCGGATCTTCAAGAGTAGTCGTGAAATTGTCACAAACTTCAGCATGATGTTTGATTTGACGGTTCTCTTGTTTGTCTCGAAGCAGGCTGATCTTTGCATGTTCTCGTCGAGCTTTGCAGAATAGAGAATCTTGCTTTTGGCCATCTCTGTTTCTCTTGCAACATCTTCAGTTTGAGTTGGAGCGTTCAATCTTGGAGCGATCGCATTGAAGTTGATCAACTTTCCATCTCACATTGATTTCACCATGTTTTCGGAACAATTCATTCCAGAAGCTTGGATGTAGTCGATCACTCTTTCTTTGGCATCTTTGTACGACAATCTTGTCTTTCCATTGTTTTCATCTTTTGTTGAAAATAGATGTTTCACGACTGTTGAACTTGAGTTGCTCTTGACTTTCTGAGGAGTCACACGTCCTCTTCCACCAACGGATGAAGAACGTCCCATTGTCAACGAATCACTCACTCCTTTGAAGATAAGGCAGTGCTGTTCTTCACATAAATTTGTTTTGTTGCCTTTTGTGATTGAATGTTAGAACAAAGCAAAATCTGCTCTATCGTGAGTGCCTTTAGCGCTCAGAACAAACTCTCTGCAATCTAAATTTGTAATCGACTGTAGAACACTTTCACAACAATAGTTCTCCTGTGTCTAGGTATACTTTGAGTGAAATTGTTCCTATTTGATTATTATTTGGCTTGAATTGATGATTCAATCACAAAAGTAAGTTCAAAGATTTCCCTTGGAAAATCCCTTGTTTACAGAACTTGATTCGACCTCTACGACAATTCTGTGTTGAATGCAGTACTTTGGGACATCTTGTATTATTCCCTACTGCATTTTACATCATTTGTATAGGGTCATTCCCTTTTTGTGTGGATTTAGATTGTCCGACGGACTTGCGTCCGGCATACTTTGCGTCGAATCCTGACATCACGATCAAAGTCCGATCGTACGTGTCAAAAACTTTGTACTTGAATAGTTTCTTTTTGTAACGTGAAAACTCATGTTTCGTCATATCCCAACACACCCGGCAGAACGATGATTTTTGTCATTGTTCGGAGAGCGGAAGAGCGGACAGACCTTCAAAATCCATGTGATCACGTTGGATAAGAAGATTAACTCATACTTCAGAGCAAAAGCTAATGATGACCAATTATGATTGGTTCAGACAGAAACAATGAAAAGCGACCAAAGCGATGAGAAGCAACCATAACGCGATCAGAAGTAAGCAAAATAAGGTTTCTGCTCGTTCCGAATGGAACAAATTACTCGTTCCGAATGGAAACTACTGGTTCCAAATGGAAATTACTCGTTCCAAATGGAAATTACTTGTTCTGAATGGAAATAACTCGTTTCCCAAAGCGATGAGAAGCGACCAAAGCGATGAGAAGCGAGCAAAAGTGATTAATTTTTTGGGGGCTGAATCTTGGGGAATTTTTCCCAGCTGGGACTTTGGCAAAACAGGCTCGCTGAAAAAATCTCAAAACAAATAATGCTGTAATTGTTAGAATAAAGCAAAATGTGCTCTATCGTGAGTGCTTTTAGCGCTCAGAACAAATCTCTGCAATCTAAATTTGTAATCGACTGTACAACACTTTCACGACAATAGTTCTCCTGTCTCTAGGTATACTTTGAGTGAAATTGTTCCTATTTGATTAATGTTTGGCTTGAATTGATGATTCAATCACAAAAGTGAGTTCGACGATTTTCCCTTGGAAAATCCCTTGTTTACAGAACTCGATTCGACTTCTACGACAATTCTGTGTTGAATGCAGTACTTTGGGATATCTTGCATAATTCCCTACTGCATCGTACACAACATCGATATTCCACTTGTACAGGATCTTTTCCTGTTTGTGTGGATACAGATTGTCCGACAGACTCACGTCCGGCATACTTGCGTCAAATCCCGACATCTTGCACGATCAAATTCCGATCGCACGTGTCGAAAACCTTGTACTTGAATAGTTTCGTTTGGAACGTAAAAACTCATATTTCGTCATATCCCAACACTCAGCATCAGCGCTCTTCTTCATGAATCGTTCAATACGTTTCAAGAGTTCCATCGGATCTTCAAGAGTAGTCGTGAAATTGTCACAAACTTCAGCATGATGTTTGATTTGACGGTTCTCTTGTTTGTCTCGAAGCAGGCTGATCTTTGCATGTTCTCGTCGAGCTTTGCAGAATAGAGAATCTTGCTTTTGGCCATCTCTGTTTCTCTTGCAACATCTTCAGTTTGAGTTGGAGCGTTCAATCTTGGAGCGATCGCATTGAAGTTGATCAACTTTCCATCTCACATTGATTTCACCATGTTTTCGGAACAATTCATTCCAGAAGCTTGGATGTAGTCGATCACTCTTTCTTTGGCATCTTTGTACGACAATCTTGTCTTTCCATTGTTTTCATCTTTTGTTGAAAATAGATGTTTCACGACTGTTGAACTTGAGTTGCTCTTGACTTTCTGAGGAGTCACACGTCCTCTTCCACCAACGGATGAAGAACGTCCCATTGTCAACGAATCACTCACTCCTTTGAAGATAAGGCAGTGCTGTTCTTCACATAAATTTGTTTTGTTGCCTTTTGTGATTGAATGTTAGAACAAAGCAAAATCTGCTCTATCGTGAGTGCCTTTAGCGCTCAGAACAAACTCTCTGCAATCTAAATTTGTAATCGACTGTAGAACACTTTCACAACAATAGTTCTCCTGTGTCTAGGTATACTTTGAGTGAAATTGTTCCTATTTGATTATTATTTGGCTTGAATTGATGATTCAATCACAAAAGTAAGTTCAAAGATTTCCCTTGGAAAATCCCTTGTTTACAGAACTTGATTCGACCTCTACGACAATTCTGTGTTGAATGCAGTACTTTGGGACATCTTGTATTATTCCCTACTGCATTTTACATCATTTGTATAGGGTCATTCCCTTTTTGTGTGGATTTAGATTGTCCGACGGACTTGCGTCCGGCATACTTTGCGTCGAATCCTGACATCACGATCAAAGTCCGATCGTACGTGTCAAAAACTTTGTACTTGAATAGTTTCTTTTTGTAACGTGAAAACTCATGTTTCGTCATATCCCAACACACCCGGCAGAACGATGATTTTTGTCATTGTTCGGAGAGCGGAAGAGCGGACAGACCTTCAAAATCCATGTGATCACGTTGGATAAGAAGATTAACTCATACTTCAGAGCAAAAGCTAATGATGACCAATTATGATTGGTTCAGACAGAAACAATGAAAAGCGACCAAAGCGATGAGAAGCAACCATAACGCGATCAGAAGTAAGCAAAATAAGGTTTCTGCTCGTTCCGAATGGAACAAATTACTCGTTCCGAATGGAAACTACTGGTTCCAAATGGAAATTACTCGTTCCAAATGGAAATTACTTGTTCTGAATGGAAATAACTCGTTTCCCAAAGCGATGAGAAGCGACCAAAGCGATGAGAAGCGAGCAAAAGTGATTAATTTTTTGGGGGCTGAATCTTGGGGAATTTTTCCCAGCTGGGACTTTGGCAAAACAGGCTCGCTGAAAAAATCTCAAAACAAATAATGCTGTAATTGTTAGAATAAAGCAAAATGTGCTCTATCGTGAGTGCTTTTAGCGCTCAGAACAAATCTCTGCAATCTAAATTTGTAATCGACTGTACAACACTTTCACGACAATAGTTCTCCTGTCTCTAGGTATACTTTGAGTGAAATTGTTCCTATTTGATTAATGTTTGGCTTGAATTGATGATTCAATCACAAAAGTGAGTTCGACGATTTTCCCTTGGAAAATCCCTTGTTTACAGAACTCGATTCGACTTCTACGACAATTCTGTGTTGAATGCAGTACTTTGGGATATCTTGCATAATTCCCTACTGCATCGTACACAACATCGATATTCCACTTGTACAGGATCTTTTCCTGTTTGTGTGGATACAGATTGTCCGACAGACTCACGTCCGGCATACTTGCGTCAAATCCCGACATCTTGCACGATCAAATTCCGATCGCACGTGTCGAAAACCTTGTACTTGAATAGTTTCGTTTGGAACGTAAAAACTCATATTTCGTCATATCCCAACACTCAGCATCAGCGCTCTTCTTCATGAATCGTTCAATACGTTTCAAGAGTTCCATCGGATCTTCAAGAGTAGTCGTGAAATTGTCACAAACTTCAGCATGATGTTTGATTTGACGGTTCTCTTGTTTGTCTCGAAGCAGGCTGATCTTTGCATGTTCTCGTCGAGCTTTGCAGAATAGAGAATCTTGCTTTTGGCCATCTCTGTTTCTCTTGCAACATCTTCAGTTTGAGTTGGAGCGTTCAATCTTGGAGCGATCGCATTGAAGTTGATCAACTTTCCATCTCACATTGATTTCACCATGTTTTCGGAACAATTCATTCCAGAAGCTTGGATGTAGTCGATCACTCTTTCTTTGGCATCTTTGTACGACAATCTTGTCTTTCCATTGTTTTCATCTTTTGTTGAAAATAGATGTTTCACGACTGTTGAACTTGAGTTGCTCTTGACTTTCTGAGGAGTCACACGTCCTCTTCCACCAACGGATGAAGAACGTCCCATTGTCAACGAATCACTCACTCCTTTGAAGATAAGGCAGTGCTGTTCTTCACATAAATTTGTTTTGTTGCCTTTTGTGATTGAATGTTAGAACAAAGCAAAATCTGCTCTATCGTGAGTGCCTTTAGCGCTCAGAACAAACTCTCTGCAATCTAAATTTGTAATCGACTGTAGAACACTTTCACAACAATAGTTCTCCTGTGTCTAGGTATACTTTGAGTGAAATTGTTCCTATTTGATTATTATTTGGCTTGAATTGATGATTCAATCACAAAAGTAAGTTCAAAGATTTCCCTTGGAAAATCCCTTGTTTACAGAACTTGATTCGACCTCTACGACAATTCTGTGTTGAATGCAGTACTTTGGGACATCTTGTATTATTCCCTACTGCATTTTACATCATTTGTATAGGGTCATTCCCTTTTTGTGTGGATTTAGATTGTCCGACGGACTTGCGTCCGGCATACTTTGCGTCGAATCCTGACATCACGATCAAAGTCCGATCGTACGTGTCAAAAACTTTGTACTTGAATAGTTTCTTTTTGTAACGTGAAAACTCATGTTTCGTCATATCCCAACACACCCGGCAGAACGATGATTTTTGTCATTGTTCGGAGAGCGGAAGAGCGGACAGACCTTCAAAATCCATGTGATCACGTTGGATAAGAAGATTAACTCATACTTCAGAGCAAAAGCTAATGATGACCAATTATGATTGGTTCAGACAGAAACAATGAAAAGCGACCAAAGCGATGAGAAGCAACCATAACGCGATCAGAAGTAAGCAAAATAAGGTTTCTGCTCGTTCCGAATGGAACAAATTACTCGTTCCGAATGGAAACTACTGGTTCCAAATGGAAATTACTCGTTCCAAATGGAAATTACTTGTTCTGAATGGAAATAACTCGTTTCCCAAAGCGATGAGAAGCGACCAAAGCGATGAGAAGCGAGCAAAAGTGATTAATTTTTTGGGGGCTGAATCTTGGGGAATTTTTCCCAGCTGGGACTTTGGCAAAACAGGCTCGCTGAAAAAATCTCAAAACAAATAATGCTGTAATTGTTAGAATAAAGCAAAATGTGCTCTATCGTGAGTGCTTTTAGCGCTCAGAACAAATCTCTGCAATCTAAATTTGTAATCGACTGTACAACACTTTCACGACAATAGTTCTCCTGTCTCTAGGTATACTTTGAGTGAAATTGTTCCTATTTGATTAATGTTTGGCTTGAATTGATGATTCAATCACAAAAGTGAGTTCGACGATTTTCCCTTGGAAAATCCCTTGTTTACAGAACTCGATTCGACTTCTACGACAATTCTGTGTTGAATGCAGTACTTTGGGATATCTTGCATAATTCCCTACTGCATTGTACACAAAATTGATATTCCACTTGTACAGGATCTTTTCCTGTTTGTGTGGATACAGATTGTCCGACAGACTCGCGTCCGGCATACTTGCGTCGAATCCCAACATCTTGCACGATCAAATTCCGATCGCACGTGTCAAAAACCTCGTACTTGAATAGTTTCGTTTGGAACGTAAAAACTCATATTTCGTCATATCCCAACAATCCTTGGCCTCTTTCTTTACTTTTTTTGGTTCGACGCAGTTCATTATTGCTCCTCTTTGGACTGCTGCTGCTGCTAGAAGTGCGATGGGACATCCTTGTAGAGGATCTGCTCCCTCTGCTTCTTGATTTCTTGCTGCTGATGGTGATGAAATCGTCCATTGTGCATGCAATCTACAAGAAGAAAACAATATGAAACTTCGGCACTTTTGGAGGGAGTTTCGGCAGTGGCGTGTAGGCGAAACGCCTGGAAGATGACCGAGAAATTGCATAACTACGGCGGGAAGTTATCGAACCACGTTTCGCGTCCAGCGTGCAGCGTGCAGTGCATTTCGATTTTTTTGCTGCTCCCTGCACGCGTTTTTATAGTCGATAGCGCGAAACTGGAAAAATCGTGCGTGCATGCACCTCACCCATATGGTAGTCGCATTGGTCGTGTTCCAATTACTTTTCTACACTTTCTTTGGAAATACACCATTCTACAGTACACCGCGGTCTGCTCATTTCCTCTGGTTTGATAGCGCCCCACTGCTCATCATGTCATCCGATCCCTCAAGCTTGGATTCATCCATGTAGTGATGGCATGTGATGTCCTCAATATTTGCCTTCCAGTCAATGAAGAAATGGAGATGCAATGGACTATTGGAATATGCTGTCTCCTACTGCAAAAGGATCCTTTTTATGAATGGTTGCCATTATGTGCAACCAAGCCAAACAGGCAGGATATCAAAAGCAATTGAGTTTACTTGAGTTTACGACTGCTATGGCCTGAATGTTCAAGCAATGAGTGACGCGGCCAAATGCGTTTCATTTACTTCATTATGATCGCGGCTCCAGCATTGCCTTCATTGACAAGCAAGAAATCCAAAAATCCAACCTATCAGCTGACAAATCAGCTGACGAAATGTCAGAGGACTTTGACACTGCAAGCAGACAAGCAGGGGTTGGCAAAGAATTGGGACTGGTCCGCCCTGATTGTGTCAAAGAGAGATAACTACTATAGGAATACTGTGATTGAAATGATAGGACTAAGAAATGGTGACTAGAAATTGTTGTAGTATACTATCTTCTTGCTTAGCACTACAACTCCTGGCGAAAGGAAGGAGTTCCGCTTTCTCTCTCTTGTTGTGTTGCCAGATTGGTATCGTGGAGACTTTGTTTTGGAGCCATCTATTGATTAATTGTATTGTTATTTTGCGAGTTTACCGATGAAAAGAAAAGGGTAGTGCTAGATACCAGAAGAACAAGGAGGTTAGTTAGATTTCAAAAGTGCTGTTTTTTCCTTTGTTCAAACCAACGTTGCTTTTTCGTTTGTTCAAACCAACATTGTCACAAGAGTTATCGTCCTTGCTATGGGAGGCTAGAATGTCTAGAGCAAGAATTGACACGGCATTCGTCATGATACACTAGTGAAAAGAGCAGAAGATCAAGTGCAATGTGAAGTCTTTTATTTTATTTTTATGTGAATTGTGAGTTGAGGTTGTCGAAACCTAATTGAGATTTGGCCAATCAGAATCGTTCGATTTCAAAATGCACCATGACCGTGTGGCAAATTTCGGGCATTTAGCAAAACTGAAACCGCCAAACCTGACTATAGGTTGTGAAACGCGCGCTAATTAGTGTTAACGCGGTAAAACTGAAAACTGTTTTCACACGGGGATATCCTGGAAATCCTGGGGGAAAAAAGGGAACTTTTAGGGAACTTTCAGGGAACTTTCAGGGAACTTTTAGGGAACTTACAGGGAACTTTAGGGTTAGGGTACGTAAAACACTGGTACTGCGAAATGTTTAGTATTTTTGCGAAACCAAAAATTGTTTCTTTCAGTCTATTACAATTACTTCTCGTTTCTTCATCGCATTCATAATCAGATTCACCCACCCCTCATCCGCTCCGACATCGCGATGTCTCTTCCGCCTACAATTCACAATCCTGTCCAAAAACTGCGCCGAAGTCTTTGGCAACTTTTCCTTCTCTGGGTCCCCATTCTTCAACTCCTCGGGCAAGTTGTTCCACTCCTCCAAGACATCATAAGCCAGCATGTACTCCCTGGCCCTTGCAGAGAACGACGCTCGATGATTGAACTGGACAGACTCCATGCTCTCTTTCACCAAGGCTTTGAATGCTTCCAGAGTTTTCTTGGATGCTAGGTCCGAACGACGATAATACGACTTGATTCCAGCCCAATCATACTCAATGCCTTCGCCAGCAATTTCAGGATGACACTTTGGACTTCTGATGAACATTATTTGACAACCAGCCGTACTCCTGCCTTCAGCATGATATTGTAGTAGTGTCTTTTCATCTTGAAAATCAGGTAAGTCGGCGACCATCTCTTTCAACGCAGTTCCTGGCATTACAAGCCCCAAGTTGTCTTTCTGACCCTTTTCTGGATATTTCTTCCAAAGTTCAGACTTTGGCACAGCTGTATCGATGAACCCACGCTCCCACAAGACCTGCAACATTCCTTTCGGCTTATTCTCCCATCCTTGTTTGATCTTCATACGCATTTCCGAGATTGCAATCCCGTTGTCGGTGCATCGCTTTTGAAGGTCTGCTTTGTTGCCATTGATGGCCTTGCCTAGCGCCTGCAACTTTTCAGCAAGCTCTCCTTTCTTAAAATGATAGCGGAACATTGGCTGTTCATTTGTGGATTCGGCACAATCTTCTTTGCTTGCCCGTTTCTCTTCATCATTCATCCAGCACGGACCGTCGTCGTCAGGTTGGTCGAAAACTAAGTGCTGTGTCTCTCCAACTTTGAGCTTTCCTGGAGGATTGAAAGGCCCAAGCTGATCTTCACTCTCAATCGCGACCTCCCTCATTCTTGGCTGCGATCCTCCGTACCCCTTGTTCATTGCATTGGCATTGAGCCCGTCAGGCCTTTGCTTGTCGTGTCCGTTTGAGTGGTCAAACATAAAAAGGTAATCATACTCATTGCCATGAAGTGCTTGCAAAACATCAATACAATCCTCCAACTGGATCACCATCCACTCATAAGTCCAATACCCTTTCAGATTTTTTCCATATTCAAACAACTGAACAAATGGGGAAGAATCTTTGGGAAGATCCTTTTTCTTGATTCCGTTCCTACCATGCACATGATGAGCTGCTTCCTTGTCCCTGTACTCGTTGTTCCCTGGTTGCCTTCTGAAACTGTTGACAATTTGCCTTTGGTGTTCACTTAGCGCAAGTCCGCTTGTCTGCTTCAGTTCTGGTGAAAGATTAGGATTGTGGTACCCAAAGCCAAACTCGCGGGAGACAAATTCCGACACCATCACTCCCATCCCTTCATCCTTTGGCGTTAGCGGTCGGATTCCTTCTGGTGTCACCCAGGCTTTGTCGGTAAACAAGTATTGCTTCATGATGCATTCATCCTGTCCAAAACAAATGAGTGGCTTCTTGCCCCGAGCTCGCACTGACACGTTTCCGCCAAACTTAACCTTGTTATTCAGCATCATCCACATGAAATTCAATGTGGTCTGCTGTCAAGTTTGGATTCCTTGGGTGCTCATTGTTATACCGGAAGCCCTTCCAAATCCGGGTTGGCAACACAGAATCCGTTGAAGTCTTCATCTTTGAACTGGATCCAGCGATGCATAGGCAGCTCTAACTTTAGATAACTTTTGATGAACTTTTTTCTGTACCTTTTGTTCTCTGGCTTCTCATGATTGTCCACATAATAGGACTTCTTCCGAGGTTCATATTTGTATCCAAGCCTTCGCATCCAGCGGTAGACAGTTCCTATTGAAAGCTTGGGAATCTTCAACTCTTCAAGCAATTGTTGGCTCCTTTACTCCTCATTTGGCTCCAGGTCTCCTAGCTTGAGAAGCTCTGTCTTCCGTACATGGGCAATCAATGGAATGGTATTGTCATGCAATTCACAGTAGACTTTTTCAGTAGACAAGCCATGCAAGTTTGCTCGGATGAATCCTTGTAACAAATCCTTTGCCTCGGGGAAAAGATCAAAGAGCTTAGAGACTCTGGACTTATCTTCACTAATACTTGCTAGATGCTTGTTTTTGAAGCACTCATTGTTCGTTCTAAATTGGCAGTGCCAATAAATGATGCTTTGCGGATCCTTGATGTACTTCCATTTATCACAGTTGTTGAGTTCATCCATTGCCTCCTTGCAACACTTCTTCCAGCACATATTTATTTTATTCATATCTCGAATAGCGATCTCTAAAGCTCTAGCCAAATATTGGCACCTGTGTCTGAGGTGGAATACATCAGTCTCAGTGTACAAGTCTTGTGAATCAAGGTCCTCGACAACCTTTCTCCATGCTCGAGCATCTTCCCATGCGGCCCTAAACTTTCCAATCCTTCTAAAAACAATTGCAGTAATATCTTCTTTGTCTTGCTCATGCGGAGGTCTTGCTAGACCAAAGTGTCTCTCTGCTTCTGGAGACGTCCAGTAGACCCAAGTGGTGTAGTCTTCTTTTTGCTCGTCGCCAAGAATATTGCGTCTGCTAGTGTTAGCAGTACTACAAGATGGAATTACTTGGGATGGAGATATTACTGTTGGTGATTGAAGGCTCTTATGATATGGATGATTTCTAGGGCTCCTTCTTGATTGCCTTGGACTCCAAAATTGCATCTTTCGCTCTCGTTCGCACTCCTCATCCGAAATAAAAACCTCCGCCCACTTTCGGGTTCGTTTCAGTGGGGAATATCAACATCCAAGCGGTAAACTTCTTTCCAATCAATATTGGCAGGGACAGTGGTAGGCAACTTGTTTGCTGGCATGGAACAATATGCTATTTGTGAATCACCATAGGTAGCGCCATAGAATCCAAGGTGGTTTGGGATCCAGTCTCTTGGCGACACACCACATTTCTTATAAAAGTTCTTTATCCCATAACTCAGAGCCCTTGTTGGATTCTTAACCTTAGAAGGCAGTAGGCCATGATGATTCATCAACTTTACCCAATTCTGAAGTTGCTTACACTGACTTTCTTGTTTTGATTCAATACGATATTGAGAATGACCGTCCTTTGAATAGCGTCATCTACTATAGTGCAATTCTCTATTATTTGTATAGTTTGTCTTTTGAGGGAATATTGTTTCGCAAAAGTTCCCTGAAAG